ATAGTCCACTGTGCTACCTGACTGTACTACCAGGGCTCTTTCATCATACTCCAGCAGGCCTATGAATTCTTCAGGAATGTAAAACTGACCTCTTGCTCTGCTAATTTTCCACTTGTTTTTTTCCGTAAATATTTTTGTTTTTGTTTGTCCCAGGATGGTTTTATAAATGTTGACAGTTGGCCTTTCTCCACAGCTCATTATCTCATTACCATTTCATTTTTCACAAAAGTGAACACATATCAAATTCTAGACAGAGTAGTAAATCACGGATACTATATTCCACAATGCATAATCAATCGCATGAGAACTACAACCAAATAATCAAATTATGGGCTGCATTAAGCAAATCTGGCACAAAGACCTCTTTAAAGGATCCCAAAGTAACAATGACACTCTGAGAGCTAAGCTGCACCTGACCTAAGCTTTACTATTAAAAAAAATTGAATCAGGTGAGGGAGTTTATATTTCAGATCATCAACTCTGTGTCTGACAGCTCACATCACTCATGAACCGCCTCCCTGTATCCCACTCCACCTGCTTTTCCGATTTCACTCCTCCAACTTGTGAACTTCCATCCTCCCTTTCCCCCAGGTCGACACTTGTCAACTCTCTATTCTCCCTTGCCCTCCCTGCCTTGGAATCTTGGTGCACAAGTCTTGGTCTTGCCTTTTGTCTTATAGCAGCAGTTTCATACATTATTTTTCTTTCTGTGACTAACTTCACTCAGCATAATGCTCTCCGGGTCCATCCATGTTATGAGGTGCTTCATGGTTTCACCATTGCTTTAGTGATGGTGGTATTTCATTGTATTTATATACCTAAGTTTTTTTAATCGATTTTTCTCCTAATGGGCGTTTGGACTGCTTCCTACTTCTCGCTATTGTGAACCGTGTTGTGACAAACATGGGAGTGTGTCTGTGTGTGTGTGCGTATGTATCTATACATGCATATTGCCAAGTATATGGCCAATAAAGGTTTTGCTGTATTATATGGAATTTCTATTCGAAGTTATCTGAGATATGTGGCTGTCCTCAAACTATAATTACAGACCCATCAGCAGCATATGAGGATTCCAATCTTTCTATACCTTGTCTAGCATTATCTGTTCTTTATTGGGTATATAGCCATGAATTCAGATAGAGCTCATATGAAGGTGCATGAAGGGTTT